CCCCAAAACCCCAAAACCCCAAAACCCCAAAACCCCAATGAGGCATTTAAGTTGAAATCTAGGCAAGAGTAAAGCTATTGTATTAATTTTAAATAAGAACTAATATGAAATGATAAGGAATGACGTAATTTTTTCTAAACAAAGTAGAGCTCAGACCATATTTTTGAGGCAAAATTACACCTCCGTTGTGAAATATGGATGCTGTAAAGCATCTGTCACGGTTATTCTCTTCTCTGGGTCAACCTCAAGACAAGCTTTGATTAAATCTTGAAGCTCTGTGCTCCTATTTCTCCAGTCTCTCTTCCTAAAAGGGAGTTCTCCTTGGCCATATTCATATCCTTTCACCTGAGTTGGCTTGTAAGCGACTGCCATTTCGTAGAGGGTGAGGCCTAGACTCCAAATATCGATCTCTCTGCCGATATGAGTATTATTAGCGCACTCAGGAGCGATATATCCCCAAGTTCCAATGGTATTCTTCTTGATAGCTTTATTGCCCAGTTGTGGGTCAATTACATGGGAAAGTCCAAAGTCGCATATCTTGATAATAGGGATCTCATCATCTTCTTCTTGGTGTGCAAGCATGTTATCCAACTTTAAGTCTCAATGAATGATCCCTTGATTGTGGATATGGTTCAAACCCTGGATTAAGTCCAATGCGTATATTTGGAGTTCCTGCTCTTCCTCAATTGGAGTGTGATGGTCATAAATCAGCTCTTGTAGATATCTATATTAATCGATAGAAATATCTGGAAGGATAAACTGTAAAAGAAGACTAGGAGGACTGTGGCTCAGTCGAAATTTGTTCTTTAGGAATGTAAAAAGGAATTTTAAAAGCTCATAGATATGTGGGCAGGAAGTATAACCCACTTGGCTATATTCTCAACAAATGTCAAAATCTTGCTAATCGACTTCATCAGTCATATTTCGAGCACTGCATACCTGCTTTTGTTGGCATATTCCATATGTAAGGCAAACTCTGTCTCATCTTCAGAGTAATTGTGAAGCTTGATAACATTCTCATGGGACATGTAGGAATGGACTCAGCATTCATTTTCAGCAGCCTAAATTGTGTGTTTAAATTTGAAAAATTCAAGGTATTCCTAAAACCATAATAAAGTCCAGTGAATAAACTTAAAACCAATCTATCAACTGTTCCCATGGGAGTAAGAACAGCTATCTGAAAGGCTAAGTTTGCTTCTCATAGTGGAATAAATTATACAGAAAGACACATTAAAGAGCTCGTTTTTGCATTAAGTAGCAGCCTTTACCTTGACCATATCATCACTCATCAACTTGTCCTTCAGCATTGACTTCTTGACGATGTCCTAAAGATGTGAGTTAGGAGATATTTCAAAAGAATGGTTAATAGGAAAGGTATATCAAAAATCTTTTCCTTAAGGAAAAGTTTTATACAAGATATCAGCACAATAGGGGTCCAAAAAGACTCGAAACCTGGCATTAGTTTGATGCAGAATACACGTCATAAGCTAGATTTGAGAAACAAGTGAGTTAAACGAGGAAAGTCCCCAAAATAGAACCTAGGAGCGACAAATAATCCAGAGAATTTAATGCACTATCTTTTCCAAGGAGGGGATTTTTGTGGGAGAGAAATAAAGGATACTCATTTTGAAGAAGCACACCACTAATTCTGAAATTTTGGCAACCATTCAGCTTCTTGCAAATCTTTTGAGCACTTACCCTACCGGTCTCTTGACACTTAGTCAGCGTGATAATACTCGGACTGAGGGGAAGCTCATAAATAGTACTCTGCTTCTCATACTGGGAGCAGATATCATGATCTCTTGGGTGGTAAGATACAGTAATGAACCCTGTCTCTGGTGAAACCTTGGCGTTAGGGTCATCGGTGATGTTCTCACAACTCTGCTTCAAAACTTCTCGGTGGTAATACTCCCTTCTATCTCCTACATTAGCATACTTGAGTGGAGTCAGATCATCAAAGGACACTTCCTTCTTGTCTTCCATTATTAAATTGGGTCGATCTTATTAATTATTTACAAATTTGCTATAAGTTTTTTATTTCTGGGGTTTTGGGGTTTTGGGGTTTTGGGGTTTTGGGG